GGGGGGGCGGGGTCGGACCGGGCGGGAGAATCCGCAACCTGCGAGGTAAAAACTCTGGATCGGCTGCCTGGAATAATTGGCCTCCTCCAGGCAGAGCTCCATGATCTATCCTCCTGCTAGTCTCTCTACCGGTAAAAATAAAGTGTAGAAACCGCGCTGGGTGCCCTCCAAAAACAGGCTGGAAAACGGGTCCCTCTGCCAGTCTCCCTTTCCACCAAACCCGACCATTCCTGCCTCCCTTCCCTTTTCACCAGTGTGCCCCCGCTTCGAACACAGTGCCTAGCACAGAGCAGGCCCCTCAAAAATATGTCCCCTCTTTTGTCCAAGCTAACACTTTGCCTGAGGGATGGAGTTCCCTGTGGGGAGAACAGGTTGCACTAGGGGCTTCAAGAGGTGAGGGGGGAGGATGGAAACCCCTCCCCCCCAGTACCTTCCTAGCTGCCCAGCAAAATCTCTTTGGAAAGGTGGGGGGGGAGGAAAGGAGAGGCTGCCTGGGAGGAGCAACGAATGCTGAAGGGCCTTCTGCCCCAGGTGGGAGAGGGAGCTGAGATCCCCAGTCCCAGAATCCTGTGAGGCTTTGCTTCTTTCAGCTGGTTTCCTGGGGACTCCAAACTGCAGGGGGCCAGGGGAGTCCAGAAGAGGCAGGGACAGGAGGCCAGGGTCAGGAAGACTGGGGCAGGTGGATGCTGCCTGGGGTTTCTTTTTCTTTTTTTTTTTTTTTAAGATTTTATTTATTTATTTGACAGAGAGAGATCACAAGTAGGCAGAGAGGCAGGCAGAGAGAGACAGAGAAGCAGGTTCCCTGCTAAGCAGAGAGCCTGATGCGGGGCTCAATCCCAGGACCCTGAGACCATGACCTGAGCCGAAGTGGGCTTAACCCACTGAACCACCCAGGGATGCCTTGCCTGGGGTTTCTTGCTGGGAGAGGGAGTTTGGGAGCTAGAGCTGGGCTTTTACGGGGCAGAAATGCCCAGAACGGACCCCCATACACCTCTGCTGTGTGTAATGGAAAAGGCTGGACCCCTGAGAGTCCTGAGGGTTCTGCCAGCACCACTGCCTACTTCTTGAATGGCCCCCCTACCTGTCCCACCCTCAGCTTGTTCACAACATCCACCTCAGAGCACAGCTGTGGCAGGTTCAGTCCTGGACCAGGTAAACACAGGTCGGATGTGCTTGGGGTGCGCTTTCGTGAAGGAGGCTGACGTTCATGTCCTCTCCCACCCACCCTCTTGAAGCCCGGCCCATTCTGCCCTCTCCCCCATGCCTGGGCTGCCCGAACCTCACATCCAGAGCCCAGCACCCTGCTCCCTGTCCATACCCTGCTCGCCTCCCTATCTCTATATAAAAACATGGCTGCAGCCTCAGCCTCCAGAAGCCACGGGCTGGGTTCAAGTCCTGACAGGGAGGGGGGTGGCTAGCACAACCTTGCCCGTGAAATGGTGTGATCCTGGGGCTGGTGTGGCCAGTTCCTGCCCAGTAGGGGCCTGGCCTTGTCCACGCTCTGGCATGGTAGCTGATACCATCACCGTGCTGAGACTCGTCTCTTCTCTGATCTTAGGGAGACCCCCCTGTCCATCATCCCCATCTGTCATTCGGTGGAAGCACACACCCCATTTTCCAGGAGGCCCTGGATCCCCATGGAAACTGCCCTGTCCTGGGCTAACACATCAACACACCCCTTTGTCAGCTTCTGGGTCAAGCAGAGGGCCCCTGGAGTTGTCAATTTCCAGCCTTGGTGGGCCCCAGGGCACATCAGTCCCTCTGCACTCTCCATCAGCTCAGTCTTCTCTCACTTCCTCCGGGCTCCTCCAGACTGTCTCTTCTCTTCCCCTGAAGAACCCGTCCCCATGAGAACCAGCACCTTGCCCATCAGCCCACACTCACCCTGGTACAAACCATTGCTTCCTCTTTATGTCTCCAAACGTCCCTGGTCCCTCAATTCAGGGCTGCCCTGCCCCTCGGTCCTCCTATCCCCAGCCTCTCTGTGTGTCTGCCTCCCCATTCATTTGTCCATGACAGATGTTTCTGGAATGTCTACTGTGTGCAGGCACATTCCCAGCACAGGGGTAACATGGGGAACAGGACAGATCAATCTCCCCATTCCCATGGGGTTGAGCCACCAGCAGGGCAAGATCAACAAGGTGGAGTAAGCATAGAAGTCAGGTTGGGATGGAGATGGGTGGTGATGGGGGTCTCTTGTACAAAGTGGGAGTGGAGAGGACCCCTGTGATAAGGTGAAATTTATCAGCAGTCCCCCTGGGCGCTCCCCACGGCAAAGCCTGCTTGGGTCTTCTGCATTAAGAAACAGCCCTGACTCTGAGTTCCCTTCTTGCTGCCAGCACGGTGTCCTCCCCGTTTCATGACCTACGGAACACATCTACATTCCCCATCTCCTCTTCCGCATCCCCCCACTCTCACTGCTGGAGCCCTCCACCAACCTGGCCTCTTCTCACTGTCCCACCTTGCCTCCCCAAAGGGAAACTGGTCTCAGCAAGGTTGATAACGACTTTCCTCTTCCTGGAACCAGTGGATGAGTCCCTGGACTCCTCTCTTAGCTGACCTTTCAGCAGCCTTCACCCTGCAGAGCCGCCCCGTCACTCCTTCCATTTGCTTTGGGGACCCCACCTTCTTCGCCATTCAGCTGCTTGCCAAGTTATGCTCCTTCTGGTGGTCCCTGAAAGGTTGTATCTCACTCCGCTTGTCTTGACTGATGTTCAGATTATGTATAGAAAAGCCTACAAAAGTTAGATGTGCCACTTCCTGAACTGTCACAGAGCAAACGCTTGATTAGCCATCACCCCCCTCAGGAAAAGAAGACCCCGCCATCCTCTGGAGGGCTCCTCATGACCCACTCTGTCCACCCCACAGAAAGTCCTATCTGGACTTCTAACACTGCGACTTTGTTGTCTGGGGGGTTTTGTGCAAAGAAAATCACAGAGCATGAGTGGGGATCTGGTTTTGTTCCATATTCCATATCCAAGGCTCACGCATCATGGCATATTTGGCATTTTAATATTATTCATTTTTCATTGTTGCCTAATATTCCATCGTGGAAATGCAACGCTATGTCTCCTCCTGCGGATGGGCACTTGGTTGCTTTCAGATTGGAGGTTATTATGAACAGAGCAATGTCTTAGCATGCACATGTCCTCCCCTCCGTTGGGCACGTGTACTCAGCATGGGATTGCAGGTGATGGGTTCTATGCATGCCGGGCTTTAGTAGCCAATGTAAAAGAGCCCATAGGGGGAAGAGAGTTCTTGTTGCTCTCAAACCTCCTGAAATGAAGTATTGTCATCATCTGTGACTTTTAGCGGTTCACCACCTCCAGTGCAGCCCTCACTTCCTCTCCAACAGCCTAGGCTGGCCCTTGTCCCCATCCCCACTCAGGATGGACTGGCATCCTCCTACATCTGTCACCTCTCAAGCCATCATGTCCTGTCGATCTTCCAGTCCTGCTGACTCACCCTCAGAGCTCACAAATCCCTCTCCTCTCACCAGCCTCACCACCCCGCCAGAACTCAAGGATTCACCCCTCCCTCATGTGGACTGAAAGCTGACCCTGTTCACTTTCCTGCTTACCATGTTTTGAGGCTCCCAGCTGCCACATGCTAATGTCTACATCCAGAGGTCTTCACGGAACAGCTCCAGACTGCATCTCTGGCCAGTTCGCTGTGTGCACCATGCTCTTTCCTGAGCACCTGCAATGTCCCCAGCAAGACAGGTGCCCTCCAGACTCCGCATTTGTGCACGCTGGTCCCTTGTCTAGAATGTGGTCCCACATGCCACTTTTCCCCATTTGGAGTCAGCCTAAAGGTCATGACGAACAGTAACTCCAGCACCAGCCACCGTTCCCCAATGGCCCCAGGGAGGTCTCCGTGCTGACTTCACATACCCAACTTCTGCCTCCTGTGCCTGGGCTGGATTTGCATTCCTATCGCTTTTTAAATGGCCATAGTCATGAGGGTAGCTTTGGACAGTGGAACGGGGAAGTGGCCTGCATCTTTCATGAATTGGAGCTTTACGAGCTTGAGTGTGGTTTGCCAGATTCGTTTTTTCCCTCTTTACTCAGGGTCTTGAAAAAAAGTATCTATCAAGATAGAATCACCACCAGCTGGGGTTTCTGAATGACTACAAAGGGCAGGATGTGTAGTGTGCATAAGAAATAGACATGCAATGTGTTTGGTCCCCAAGACTTGTGGGTTGTTATAGCTGTGCATGACTTCTATCCTGACCGCGGCATCCCTATAGGCCACATGGTGGCTCTGCTCATCACCTACATTATCTCCTTCTCCAAAGTGAGTTCCCTGTCTCATTTAGAATGGCCTAGTAATGGAGGACCTTTCCCATGCAGTGGCTAACTGAATCTGTCTCACTCTCCCAGCTTGACTGCACATCTGATCCTCGCCATCTTTACTCTGGGGACCAGGCTGATGGAGCAGTCCCAAAGCGGGACGGAGCTGGGCTCCTGGCAGAGGCAAAGAAAAGATGGGGGCCCTGAGCTCCCTCTTGCAGTTTCATGGCCCCAGGTAAGTTCCATAACCACCACTCATGAGTTCAACAG